ATGTGATTATATATAAAAATTATAGTAAAATTTGTGTAACCTATCTGACCAATCATATGAATGTCCTCCTATGAGGGCTTATACATTACGCGATTTTTCGTTACACAATGTTTTGGTTTTTCGAACCAATCATATTTTACCTACACTTATCGAAATATTTGTTTTTCTTTCGTTCTACTTCTTTACTTACAGCCTTTAAATTTAGTATTATTGTTTTAACACGTTAAAATACAAAAAAAATTTAACATTGCGCAAAACTCACCAGTATTTATTGGTGACTTACTTTATAGTGATAATAAAAATGTATAAAAAGAAAAGTGATTCTCAAGAAATAAAACAAACTAATGCTGCTCTGCAATGTTTTAAACAAGCTAAAGAAGCTTTAAAAAATAACGATCTGTTAAAAGCACGAGAATTGTTTACAAGGGTTTGTTATCTTAATTACTTTATAATTGGTTTATTCTATATTTAGGATATTTAATTAATAATTTCATTATTTTAAGGCAATTAATTTGAAGTCGAATTATATCCCATTCTACGATTGCCGTGCTTCGACGTATGAAAAGCTCGGTCAATTAGAAGCTGCTTTACAAGACGCGTTATCTATGATTAAATTGGACAAAACCTCAGTAAAAGTAATTACTAATTTATAACCAAATTTATTTAAAGTATGAGCGCTTATTTAATTTCTTTTTTTAGGCTTATCTTCGCGCTGGCAAAGTTTATAGATTATTGAATCAGACTTCTAATGCAATTAAAATTTATAATGTTGGATTGTCACTTGTTATTACCAAAGATCAATATTACGAGGTAACGTTTTTTTTCTAAATATCAAAAATATTCTTAAAGATTTATTAACTAAATAATAATATCAGTTGCTTCAAAAACAAAGTGAAGATTTGCAGAATAAATTGCGTAATAAATTGCGTGTAAGTTTTACACTTTATTATTATTATTATTTTTTTTTAATAGAAGACAAAGTTAATATATATATATTATTATTCACAATTGAATTTTCTTTTTAAGCAGTCTGATTCTTCTAATACATATGACATGATGTGTATTCTTCCACCAGAACTTAAAGATGATATTTTAAAAAGACTTCCTTTTACAAATCTTTGCAAAGCTTCAGCCGTATCTAAAACCTGGAGAAAATACATTCTCTCTTCAGAAATTTTATGGCATAATTTGGATTTTGAGAGACCATTTTTTAATACTCTCAATGATAATATAATCCGTGTTTACGTTAAACGAGGTGGAAGACGTGTAAAAAAATTGATTTGTGGTGACTCTCCAAAATTAACTGACAAAACTTTGAAGATTCTTAGAGAAGCTCAATGTGACCGTTTACAATATATAGCGATCTCAAATTCAAATGTCACCGATGAAGGCATAAGAGCATTTATTAAAACAGTTGGTTTAGATTTGAAAACAATAGAATTTTCAAAATCTGACATCACAAATATGACATTATCTGTCATATTGTCGAAATGTAAACAACTGGAATCTTTGAATTTATCTTTCTGTGAAAGCTTGACTTCGGAAGCATTCAATCCAGCGCTCGTGGATAATAAGGCTTTAAAATTGAAGAATATAAACTTGCAATGTCATGGCCAAATAAAGGGAAATGTGATTGATTATTTGAGTTTATTATTTCCGAATCTTGTTCATCTTGATTTGGCTGGAATTAGTGGATTAACTACCAAGTCTATAGTTAGTTTAACCAGTTTTAAGGATTTGAAATTCCTGCAGATAACAGGCGATTTGCCAGTGGAAGGGACTCTTTCATTAGAAGATGCTTTTGAGGTGTTCATTGGAATTTGCACACAACTTAATTCCTTTAGTTTAAAGGAATGTCAAAGCTTAACAGATAAATGTATCCGAAAATTGGTTCAATCATGTGACGATTTGAAAGAGCTCGATTTTACATCTAGTATCTATTTGACAGATGAAACAATGTGTCTTATTGGAAATTATTGTGAACAATTAAAAGTCTTGCGCATTGGAAAATCTCCGGGAATAACTGATGTCGGTGTTATAAAAGTTATGAAGTCAGGTTGTGGATCTTTATTAGAAGTGATCGATTTACAAAGTAATTCAAATATTACCGATAAAACTTTAGAAGTAATGGGTTCACATGCCAAATGTTTAAGGGAAGTTAACTTCAAATGGTGTAAAAACGTTACTGGAAGTGGTGTTGGACCTTTGGTCAGGCAATGTGGCAACACTCTGAAACACTTGATCTTACAAGAATGTTATAATGTTGCTCCTGATGCGATAGAGTTAGCTAGAAAAATTCTTGGTAAAAATGGTGGATTAGTTAGTTATGAGTTTCGGGGAAGATTTTAATTTATAGAAGTTTGGTAATATATGCAATTCTAATTTTAGTGTTATCTGTCTAATTTGATAACAGGGAATATAATGTTTATGAGAAGGGTATAATTCTAGAAATGTTTATAAAAAGCAATCATGTTGATACTTTTACTTTGATATCTAATAAATATTATAAAAAAGACCGGTAGATTTTTATCATTATATCCTAGGTGCTATTTCAAATTATTGGAATTTTAAAATTAACAAGTGCAAAATTCATGATACGAACCGTTTATTATGTTTAATCCCAAAATCCCTCTTATCACTATAATTTATAACATTACCCACTCATAAAGAAGACTAGACTACATGGTGCAAATCGACCCCTATCCGAAGACATGGGGACTAAAGATGCAGACTTTTACTTTCTTAAAGGTCACGTCAATTCATCATATCATAAATTTATATAAAAATTGATATGTCACGTCAAGATACGTCACGTTACAATCATATATAACAAACTAGATCTAATGGGGACAGAGTAGAGCCCACGGATTCGTGCATTTGCATGCATCGCACTTTTGAGGTAATTTCATCATTTTTTTATTTTTCACGTGACCTTATATTGTATTTACCATTTAAGGAATAGATCATCCGCATTTTTAAGTAAGAATTCTTTTAATTTATATATGGTTACATGTGAGAATTCTATTAAAATGTTGAATTTTTTTGCATTGCACGAACGCATGGAGCCGGCCTATAAACCATCGCCTCCAATAAGAAGGAGTATAGCAAACTAAGGAATAAACAACTGGATTCTATTCTTATTTATATAAAAAGTGAAAAATTGGATTCAAAGATCTTTATAATATATACTAATTATGGAAAATATATGGATGATTATCTATTAAATCACATTAAGAACCATGATTTTAATAATTTTAATAGCCAATATCATATATATATCTCTTTAATCAAATTTATAAATAATTAATAATATTTTTAAGAAATAGAAAAAATATATTATTTTATTAATATTTTTTTTTTATAAATAAGATTTGTTATTTATTATTAGTAAATTATTATAAATATAATATCATTAATTTTAAATAAATTTATTGATATGATTAATATTATACATTTTATTCATAATAATAATACATTTTTAATTTAATTTAATAATTTATATTAATATTTTAGTAAGCTAAAGTTTATTCAAATTAAATTAATATAATTATATTATATTTTAAAATTTTAATAGTATTTATTAATTTTAATATTAGTAATTTAATTACCTTTTATAAGATTTTTTTTTATTTTTAAAAACATAATTTTTTATTTTTTATGATTATTTATATTAATTATTCTATTTGATTGATAATATTATTCTTATATATAAAACATAAATCTAGAAATATTATTTTTTTAGATAAATTATATTTTTTTAAACATTTCATATAAATTTAAATAAATATAAAAATAATTATATATAAAAAAAAATTTATCTTTAAAAATTTTAATAATTAATTAAGTTTAATTATGCTTTTAATCATTAGATTTTTAATAACATTTTGAATTACTAATTGATTATAAAGTCTTATAATAATAGAATTAATAAAACAAATTATTTTTAATAATACTATAAAAATAATTGTAAATATAACAAAATAATTAAAAAAAAATAATTAAAATAAATTTTTAATTTAATAAACTTGCCAATTTTTATTAATGTAAATGGTAAATCCAAATATTTTAAGATGTAAAATGTAAAAATATATAAAAATATTATGTAGCCATATAAGAGGTTTATTAGAAAAATGAGAATTCTAACTAAAATTTCATCTTTATTACATTTTAATCTAATATCATCAAAAATTAAAATATAATTAAAATTAAACTTTAATTGAAAATTCTTAAAACTAGCTAGGGTTAATTCAGTCCTAGAAAAGATGATCTGTAGACTGGTTAATAAACTGATTTTTACAGATCTTGAGTTCATAATCTAAAGACCAGCTTAGACTGATTATCAAATCTATTTTTTATCCAATATAAATGCAACAAGTTTTGAAACACAAATTTAAGTTTGTATTCCAAAATGATCAAATGTATTTAATTGAAGAAAATGTAAAAGGAAAGGGAATGAACAAATAAGTAGGAAGAAAAAACAATAATAGTGAATGAAAAAAGGAATATTAAAAATGAAAAGAAGGTAAGAAAATGAAAGTAAGAAAATAAGAAATAAGTAGAATAAATAGGAAGAAAAGAAAAAGATAAGTTTAAATAAGAGATAAATAAAAAAAAGAAAACAGAGAATAATTATTTTAATTACTTTTCAAAATAAATCATGATGTCAATTGAAAAGAAAAAGCATCTTTAATTTTTTTTATTAAGTTAATGACAATAAAAAAGTGAAATAATTATTATATAATAATTTGTTGGCTAAATAAGACTTATATATAACTTTAAAATGCAACTAAATCATTTTACTTATTTAAAAATAAAAGATTTGCCATAGCGATGGTAACAGAAATTTAAAATATTTTTTAAACCATTTCCAGAGTTATAAATAAAAAATTTTTTATAATAAATAAAATGTAAACTTTTTTTAATTAATTATTAGATCTCAAATTCAGATGATAACTCGATAAAACAGATATATTTTAAATCTTTTAGAATTTTTATTAATAAATATTTAAAGCTCAAATGCTTGTTTTAGTACTATGATTTTATGATATGATTTTTTAGTCAAATGAAATTTATATGTAATATTTTGAAATAAAAATAAAATTTAAATTTTTATTAAATGGATCACAGAATATGATTTTACTGGTAACGAACTCATATAATTTTTCCATTTTTTTGACAAATGTATTTTTATTTATTTAAAATATCTTAAATAAATAATACAATAAATAACAACAATATCATATATTATGCATATTATGTGATTGTGTATATATTTTTCACAATTAAAAATTTTATAATTTTAAATTTACGCAGTTTTCAGTTTCACAATTGAAATTTTTAGCAATTTCAAATTTGAATTATAGAAATTAAATAAATTGAATTAACTAATTAATTACTACTAATTCAACACTGATTATTTTTAGGTTTGTCATTAATTAATCTGAGATTCAACACTAATTAATCTCTATAATATTTATTAAATAATTTTACATATTTTATTATATTCTTATGAATATTTAAATTTATAATGTAACATTTTCTTTAATAGTAATACAAGAATAAAATTTGCTATATCTCTTAAATTTAATATAAAAATTCATTATATAAAAAACTTTGTTAACAAAAGTCTTATTTATTATAATTGGTATAGGATTTTAATTCATTACACATAATACAGCTCGAGACTCTTAGTCATAGCAACTTTCAATATTAAGCGCCAAAGTTACTTTTTTAAATAATCATGTGATCCCAACCAGCATTAAAAAATATTATTATAATTTCAACCAAATTCAAAAATTAAAACTTCATTAAAATATATTGAAGTATATATTAGGAATTATATGATGCCTTTTATACTTTTAACAGTATATTCCACTTGCTTTACATTTAATCCCTTCTTATATTCATCTATATATCTATAAGATTTTCTAGCAAATACTCTTATTTCTAATAAAGAAACATGATTTAATGCAATAGGAACAACTTGTTGCAATCCATTCCATGTATAATTACAATTATCTCTTGAATAACGTTTTGCACCTCCCTAATATAATTAAGTTCACAGTGAAATTTTAGATAAAAAATTACCTTATGACCTTTGCTTTCAATAATTTCTTGAATTATGCATTTTTAAGCAAAAAAATCAGGCTGATTTTTTAATATATACTGCATGTAATATTGATTATCTGTTAAATCTTTATTTTTATAAAAACCTTTTAAACCTAACTTTAATAATTAGCGTTTATGTAAAATTTGTTTCATTCCCTTTGGTTTTCCATAAAGAGATTTGTTAGGAAAATCATTAGGAAAATTCATAAATTGAACTTGATCATTAAAAATAGTATTTCTTATTTTTGGTTGTTTGCCACCTGGTTTCATATTCATACGATTTGCAATAAGAGCATCTGAGCTAAATGCATCATGAGAAGTGGAATTATCAAATGCAATAATTGCAATAGCTCCAGAATGAGTTACTTCAAATATTGGAATTGCATGATTAATAATTTGTAAAGTAAGTAAATTTATATAATTAATAAAAAAAGTTAATTAATATAATATAAAATTAGTTAAATACCTGTTGAACTAATAATTTAATATTCCACTAACTATCATTATTTATTCCTGGATTCATCATTACTCTAGCTTCATGTGAAATATTATTTATATTTTCCAAAAGTTTTTGTTCTTTATTTAATTGCAATCTTCCAATTGTTTCACATAAAAAATTACTAACATGAATGGTTCTTTCTCTTCATTTTTTATAAAGAGGTTGTTCTTTATGTGGAACCCATCCAGATCGTCTTCTATTATTAGAATGAAAAGTAGTTTCATCATGAGTTACCAGAATATGTAAATGTTCATTTTCTTGCAAATCAGGATTGATTTGAATCTCCAGATTATTATCCTCAAATTTTGGCATTAATTTTTCATAACTTTAATTTAATAAAATTAGTTAGATTAAAAATAAATTTTTTATTTTAAAAACATTAAAATAAAATTTTACCTTGCCATTTGTTCCAAAAACTTTAACCTATATTTAATTACATCAGGTTTTTTATGACTATTAATATAAACACCTTTAGAAAATTGTTTAAACTCAAATCCTATTTTATGAAGCCATTTTCTTGCGGTTTTTGAGCTAAATCCAAGAATTTATTAAATAATTTTCATTTGATAAATAAATTAATTATCCTTTAATTCAAACCT